GCCGCATCAATCAGGCGAACAGTCAATAGCTGACATGCAAATCTGAAACGAATGGACATTTCAACAGTGTAGTTCCGAACACGCAAGGCCACTAGTTTCTCTTTAGTTTTATCTCTCTTTTTTGTTATTAAATTCCTTTATATCTGTTTTGAATGAGCCGCACAGGATGACCCACAACCACCGTAACTCTCACATGATCTAATTTAATGTTTTTCGACTGTACTAAACAAGTTGCGGGAATCGTCTAATTTCCCTTCATATGACACGAAGAGCGCGGAGAACGACGCCTCCAATGATTATTCTTTAGTTGCGTGTTGTCTTTGTAGCGGAAACGTCTTTTATCGAGCTGTTTCCTAGCAACAAAAGAAGGGATACATTTTACCGAACCGTTGCCTAACAACGAAACAAGGAATACATTTTACGGAGCCGTTGCCTCGCAAAGATAGGACGGATACACATACAGACACACAGACTGATGAGAGAGATTTATGAAGTACGCCGTTGAGATGGGCTCAGTTTTCTTGATATCTGTATATACCAAGTTTCATAAAAATCATATCAGGCATTTAAAAGTTAATAAGTGGGATTCGCAGACACAGCGTGGAGATCGCATAAGTATAGTTTAATTTTTTTCAAAATGAGAAGAGTAGGCTAAAAATATATCTGCTCTGTTTTCTCTTTCCTGTTGCATACCTCACACAGTACGCCCCAAAATAAACGGTTTTTTTTTCTTTTTTTTTTTTTGTTAAAGGCAACCAAGAATGTCCGTTCTTCGCCTGGGATGTGAGTACTTTCTTTGTATTTGGTTTGGTTCACGACCCTGTCAGCTTCTTAGATTATATAGCGTTGAATGATAAAATCATTAGCGAATAATGAATTGGGAAACATGAAGAAGGAAAGTTTCACTATCTCATTTGCAGTTCTGCCCTAGCATTTGTCTTTGGTTACTGAGGCAAACAACAAGGAACCTCAGGCAGCGTAATCATCCAAGCTGAGATTCGAACCAGTCACCCTATAACACAAGTCTAGAGCTTTAAAAGCAGTAGGAACTCTTTCAGTAGTTTTGTATAAATATCAGAATAGGTATCAGCTAAAATATGAGAGCAGGAACATCATTGAAATTATTAAATCAAAGTCACGGAGTCATAAATGGAAGAGTGGTCGTTATAAATTCCGATATTTTCCGTAGCAGACTTTATATCCCAACAAGAATATCAGTGTAAGCCAATTAGCCCGAGAAACTGTGACGACATCTTCTCGGTCTTAATAGAAATGACAGTTTACACGGTTGCCAGTTCATTGCCATAAATCTGGGAACGTAATCCGATTAGAGAAAGACAAATAACAAAGACGAAATAAGATGAGGAATCCCTATGGAGTCAGAATTCAAAACACAAAATGCAATGCGCCGCAAATTACGTAAGAAATTGTAGAACTTGGATTGCATAGGCTGGTCTGCAACACATCTAATCAACTGGTACAGCATTTCTTCCAGTAGATGGCATGAAGTGTGACACGGTTGGATGCGAATGTGGTGACGGGCTGCAAACGGAGGAACATATCTTCTGGGATTGTAAACTGTACGAGGACTAAAGGGCAAACATGATGGACATTTTATCTGAGAACAGCAAAAGAAAACAGTACCAAAAGTCAGTTAAAATGCTCTTGAGGCTAGAGGGAAAATTATTTGTGCAATGCGTCTGTTTCTTCTTAAACAAAATTTCTAAATTTATTAAAGAACGAAAAGAATTATGTGTACAAAATGTTAGTAGTATATTCTTGGGGCTAAATTGATAGAGATGTTCAGAAATCGCGAGGTAACCGCTGTGATAGAACAAGATGTTTATAAAAATGTGCTACAGAGGTCCGGATGGGCATTGCCTATGCCTTTTCTGTACATGTAATTTTTTAAAAATAAAAAAAATAAGAGAAACAACATGCTTTCAGATGATCTATACTTCCTGTCGTTTGAAGGTCACTTGAGGAAGTATGGTTGGTCTTTCTGTGTAAGTGTATTAACGCCCAGACAAACTTGGCCTTCTGGCAGGGAGTTGTGAGGGAGGTGCAGTAAAAGGGTTAATAATAGAGGTAGTATTGGTTGCTGGTTGCGTGTAGGGTTGTCACGAAGGTAACGCTGTTTTAAATCAATTAGCTGATATCCCGCATAGAACTGCGGCATATGGCGAATCTCTATTGTTCTGGTACGTAATATAAATCGCCACAGGGGGTCCATTTTGGCACTACCTGCTCCACATCGGACTCTGGTTCCATAAAAGGCGCAGAATTTATTGACCAACTGAAAAATATATCAGCTTTAGAAGACATGAAGTGTTCGTAGGTTTTCATAATCTGGCTTCAGAATTCTATGGCGATGGTGCGTTAGAGGCTCTATCAGGAGTATACTGGGTAAAGCACTGTCCTCTGGAATAGGACTGTGTAGTTCGGTGCAAGTTCACAGACGTTTAGGAGGAAAGTGCTACTTCCATCTTCATGGGCGAGGAGTAAACGCAACAAGCAACCAGTAATTAGTAAACAACGAGCATACACGGCTGTATTATCTATCCTGTGGGTGGTGACGCCGTGTAGGCATATTAAAATTCGCCGACGTTTATCAAGAACATTTTATGTTTATTTCAAATTCGGAGAGTAAGCCAAGCAAGAAATTAAAAACCAGAATTTTATTACCTTACTTCTGGGATGCGACGCCGTAGAGTCGGGTACAAGTTTATCGAGATTTAGGAGAAAATTACTGTCTTCTTCTTCTTCTTCTTCTTCAAAACACATAACCAACAAGAAGCAAATATTGTCTACATAGTCTCCACATGGAGTAATTTTATCTGGTTTGAGTTCAGAGGCTGGTGACTATGAAAAGTGATATATTCTGGATTGTGACACCGTGTTGTCTGGTAGTTCATCGGCGTTTCGGAGGAACGAATTGCGGTCACCATGTATAATGGAGGAGAAAGCCAAGCAATCGACAGTGCGAGGTACTATATATCTGCTATATTCTTTTCACGATATTGAACATTCGGCTACCAAAACGAAGCCAATGTTTCATGAGTAAGTAAGTCACTGTTAGCTTCTCAAAACGCAGTACACTTATCCATGACCAGTTTTAATAAAGCGTCTTGTCTATGAATCACCGCTAGCTATCAAACTGAAAACTGAGTATAAATTTTGAGCGGGCAACATTTTGCAATTTTGTAATCTATAGAAAACGGTTTTAAAAAAATATGAAACTATTTGGTAGTATAAAGAAATATACCGTCACGTGTTTCGGGCTATGTGTGACTTGTAGACTGGTTTTTGACTGATGACCGGATTTACTGTACACTTACGCGACTTGTTACTACACTTCACAGACAATTATATGACAGACTATGCCTTCTCTTCCCATGCTAGGTGGGTTCCTTGTCAGCGCGGCATGGCGCGTCCTCAAGTTGCGGATGGAGGAGAAGGCCCCCAGATATGAAGGGTAGCTGCGAATATATTGAATAAACAGACGCGAACAGCAGAAAAGGGGGCTTTCCTGCAGCTTGATAGTTGGGCGTGAGACTAACAACTCACGGTAAAAAAATGAGGTTGTTACGAAAGATCATAAGAAGCCTCGGACCTGGACAGATTCTTTGGATAAACGACCTAAGCGAAAGAAAATGGATTAGCTTGATCTGGCTCGGGATATAGATCAATGGAGGGTTCTTGTGAACACGGTAATGAACCTTAGTGTTCCATAAATTGTTGGGAATTTCTTGCGTAGCTCCACGTATTCTTGACCTAGGCACTAGATGGAATTAGTAATCAGCTTCACACCCCGGCCGCTTTAGTCCCGAGGAAGTTGCCCCCGGTACCCATTTGACAGGAATAGTAGTGGACCCCAGAGTCGGTGTGTATGCTGTGGAGAAAAGAAAAATATTTGCTCCTACCTTGCATTCAACAACGTTTCTCCAGCCATTTAAGTCCACAGCCTGGCCGCCATACCGACTGAGCGATTCGTATAGTGGTTAGGCTAGGGGTTGGTTGGACGAGAGGTCATGTTTCGATTCTCGGCAGGAGCCAGAAGCTTTTCTCCGCATCTTCCAGACTTCTTTTGGGACCTACCCTGTCTCCTATACAATGGATATTGGGGAATATTTCCCCCTGTTTAAAACTCTTGAAGCGTGACACTAAGCACTCACGTCCGTCTATTGTCGAGAATAAAAATGCTTGGAGCTACACCTTCACTTCCCCATATATCTTCATGACGTAGTGCTTAATTAAGCATAGGAACAACGTCATTTCTATTCAGTGTTTGTTATGTAACATATGGAATTGAAGCACCGTCGTTAAATAACACACTGACTTCTGAAGAAGAGGCAGAGCATTGTTATTAGTTCAGGTGGATATTTTACTTGCAGGAGTTGGTAACGCTGTGTCCATTCCCCTTCTTCCTGTTCCTTGTAGTCTATGTTAGTTCTGTCTAACGATACATCACAGCATATTTGCAGCGCAATAAGTTGGCATGCCTGTTCTACCTCCACATCGATGAAATGGAACGTACAGATGAAATCTCCCTTCACATACCGGGTGTCTCGTAAGTGCCATCACCTTTCTGTTGTTAGTTTAAGTAGGACCGTGACACGATGGGACTAGGGGATGGAAGCAGTTCGCTGTATATTTCTCTGTCGGTATTAAAGCGTCTTCAGTCGGTATTACAGTGTCTTTGACGAAAAATTACCTGTACGTTTTCGTTGATATTATTACACATTGCTGTCCTTTCAGAACTTATTAATTTAATTGTCAGAATGAAAATATCCAGTGGGATGTCGGGTTTCGTATAATCACAGACACCCTGACTGAAACTTCAGTAACGCTCTTCCAGACCACACGGCGTCATATCACAGTCACCGCTGTGAGAACCTCATGTTTTGATGTTTACTGTTGGTTTCTGGTTTGAAGTTCTTTGCTTTAAGGGTTCTACCACTTCTGATACTTAACAACTTTCCCATATGCATTTCTTTCAGGGGACACTGAGAGTCACGATCGCTCGAAAGCTTAAATGGATGGCAGTCGGATGGAGGGACGGACGGAGAGACAATTGTGAGTCTTTTTATTACATTTTGTAGTCATTGTTTGCTTGCACTAATAAACTGTTCATATTTAACGCTGTGAGAGTCAGTGTCTTCAGCTCAGTTAGTGTTTCTTAAGTAGTTTCATGAGAGTAAGTTTAAAATCATGAAATTTATGGTATTATAATTCACATTTAATATAAGAAATATTACAACAGTTTATTGTACTCCATACTTAAATATCTTGGACAGTTTCAGGGTAATTCTAAATTACTGTCGGACTTTCATTCGGAGCAGTCGCTATTTTGATATATGACGTCATATTCTCTCATAGACAACAATGCGGCAAATACAGCATTGCAAAACAAAACTTTTTAAGTCAAATTTTCATATTCTGTAAGCAGATTTATCTTATTTTTCCTGATTTCTAAACTTATATGCCACGGAAACCCCGATAATGATTTAGTATCACAGCACAGTGCTAATGTTTTCTTAATGTCTTTACGTTTAGAGTGAATAGACGTTTCACTAAACTCCTTTCACGTCATCAGCCGCGTTATTAATGGAGTAGAGCCAACGTTTCGAAGCTTTATTCTGTCTCCATCATCAGTGTCACCGAAAGGTTTTGCATCGACTCTGATAATGGAGACAGAGATGGTCTCCGAAAGTTTTGTTTCTGCCAGCTGCATGACGGGACAAATGAACGAAGACGATGTTAGTAAATGTGCTCATTTCTGAAGCTTCTGATTTTTCGGCAGTCATATTGGCGCCGGCTGAGATGGGGGGCCAGGCGCGTTTCCCCAGGATTTTTTTTAATAAAGCTAGAAATTGAAAAGAAAACGAATTATATTAAATATTAATACTAAAAGTTGAAAGTAAATTTTACTAAAAGAACAATTTTCTATATTCAATGCTCTAGGAATATCAGTAAAAATGGACTTATGGGATTAAACGTGAATTCGTAAGCAAAGTGTCTGCTTTATCCGTCTTTGGGAAAAGAATCATGGCGGCCTATAACGACAGACATTCGATTATTAAGTTAATTTAATTATTTATGTCCGGAATGCTGAAATTCAGTCTATACCGTTACGTCTGTCACAAATGTAACTTTAATACTCTGTACCAGCTAAATGCTGGATCAGTGATGAAGCCCCAACTGAAATACAGACCGAGGGTGTAGTAATACAGGTATTGTCACATTTTTAGGGGTGTGTGACTATAGACGGGGTAAGGATTGGAAACTGAATTTATACACATCGCTCGGAACTACGAGTAATCACAACGCTCAGGTCCTTCCTTTCCGGCCAATATCCCGCATCTGAAATCCACTGAGCCGGCCTGGGGTCCTCGTTATATAGACCCGCGGACGGATCCAGCAGAAAACACCGACCCCTCAGCAGTTTTGCTATTGTTGTTACGGGCAGTAGCTTAGCGATAGCCTGGATATTGTTGACGTGTTTATCCGTTTCCGCCTGAACGTATATGGCGAGCCTTTGCTCAGAAACGGTCGTTGCATAGCAACGGCTGTACATGCTACATTATGCTGCCTGGTCAGGGTTATTGCACGCTTCAGGATATGGTCATAGATGGGTATGGGGCGGTGGTGGAAAGATTGTTGTCAGGAAAAACCGAAGAAACTTGGTGAAAATCCTCATCCACCACGAGTTTCGCATGTATTCAGCTGGGATTTAGCCCAGGGCTCCGCACTGAAATGGTAGCTTTTAACTGCCTGATCTATGTCACTACTTGTACACACAGTATGCAGCATATCGCAAACTGTTTACCCGGCATATCTTTCCATGATGATGGAGACAAAAATGCTCTGCGAAACTTGGCACTGATATTCCAAATTGACACATTTGCTCGCTCGACGATTTAATCGCTTTGGGTCTCTGTGAAAGCTTAAAAATGTATAAGTGTACCGTCCGATTTTTTGGACTAGTCCGCTCTCAGAAGAATGCGCAGTGAATTTTGACGTGTCCACTAACTGAGATAAGAATATAAAGTATGTATAAGGTTCTGGTTACAGTGCATCTCGCCCAGAAAGCCGTTGTACCTACTGGCTTGCTACTTCTTGCCTACGATCTCTTCACGCGCAGCTCAGAGGCCAAGTCTGATAACTCTGCCTATAGTGTGTTGCTCTGGATAAGCTGGTGCAGAAACAGGGCTCATGTTAGCCACAGTAGAGAGGCGAGGCTGTATTATTTGATCCATGCTCTTATGGGAAGGCTGGACTTTATTACCAGCCCCATAGTGTTCTTACGTAAGGCCGATTATGGCCAGCATGTTATTATTAATGGCAGACTGGATTCAATAACTGGACCCATGTTCGTCTCGGGCAAGCAGGAACCTACTGTGTGCACATTTGTGACTTCGGGCTTCTACTGCCATTCGTCTTTGATGCTCATATTGCTCTTGGGTTACTGTACCGCGTGAATGTGGGCAGTTTTGTCCATGTTATTTGTTGTATCAGTCTTCATGGACGAAGTGTGTAGGATTAGTGATCGTGCATATATGGGTTTGAGTCTAAGAGACCCACGGGGGAAGGTAGGGCTCTTGCCTGGACCGGGAATATAGGGAAAGTGGACAGAGAAATTTTATCAAACAAGAAGTGCTGTGAAGAACTAATCGCCTGCTTTCCTTTGAGACGGTATGGACCGCACAGAAAACTACGCGTCTAACAATTCTTCTGTTGTATATGTATTCGTTTCCGCGGTGAAGTTTTACCTAGCCGTTGCCTAGCAGCGATAGAGGGATACACATATAGGTACGTAGACTGATGGGAAGGATTTATGAATTGCGCCGTTGAGATGGGCTCAGGTGCCATGATGTACATACTAATTTTCATAAAGACGGTTCAGCCATTCAGAAGTTGATAAGGGAGGATACACAGACAGCGTGCTGATCGCATAAACCTACTTTCGTTTTTTTTTAAATAAGAACAGTAGGCTAAAAATTGTTTCCCAATGGGATCAGACTGCGCTTCAGTCCAACACTTCTCTTTGGACCAAAACGCGTATGTACGAGTATATATATAAGGGGTCCAAAAAATGTACTCACACTTTGACAGTCAGTATCTTTGGAACAAAATGACATGTAGTTACAATTCTTGCGCAGAGAGAGGGTTAATGCATGTGTTCGAAGTGACCACCATCAGCGGCTAAACAGCGTCGATGCCTCCGAACTGCTGACCGAGCTACGGCTGTCAGTGTGTCCGGTGTGATGGCTGCACACGAGATGGTTTCTCGTAGCGCGTTCGGTGTAGCTGGCTTTTGTCGATAAACTTTATCCTTCAAGGTTCCCCATAGGTAGAAGCCGAGAGGTGTTAGGTCCGGAGACCGTGGTGGGTACTCAATAGCACCTCTTCGACCTATCCATGGTCCAAGTAGAGTGTCATCCAAGTAGGCCCTGACATCTCGATGGTAGTGAGGTGGGGCACCATCTTGTTGTAGGTAAAATCTCTCATCTCCAAACAGCTCTCGAATGGCAGGGAAAATCATGTCTGAAGCATATCGAGATACACCTGACCAGTTACGGTACCTTCAAAGAAGAAAGGACGAATTAAACCGCGCGATGACAGACCACACCACACTTTAACACCCGGTAGATTCACTTCCTTGCCCACGTGAACGTGTGCACTTACTGGAGCCCAATACACACAATTGTGTCGGTTAACAGTACCGTTCATTTTGAATTGCGCCTCGTCAGACCAGATAACTTTCGCTGCAAACTCCTCATCCACGCGAACCATGCCTTCAAACCACTCGCAGTGTTCAAGCCTTCCATCCGGGTCGTCCTCGTTCATAGCGTGCAGCTGTCTTGAAATGTACACTTTACACTTTGCAGCCTTCAGAATTCGCCGTACACTTGATCGATTTACCCCACTTTCGCGTGCACACTGATTCAAAGATTTTTGCGGTGATCGTATAAAGTGTTGCAACACCACAGCACTGGAAGCTGGACTTGTTGCTATCCGTGGTCGCCCAGATCTTTGCTTATGCACATCATGAACAGTACCGTCGGCTTCAAATTTATCCCGAATACGGGCAATTGTTCGACGTGTTGGTGGCTGAGTTGCAAACTCATTCTGCCATTGTCGTTGTACCTCTAACTTTTTCGTACTTCCAGTACCACTTCAATACAGCCTTGCGTTGCTCAAAGAACAACCTTTCAGACATTGTTGCTGCTGTCTGCTGCTCGCAGCGAGTACGCGGCACGACACTCGCGTGACTCATATGACCTTCGCCATCTGTTGAGAAAACATTACACTACACTACCTCGCAAGAATTGTAACTACATGTCATTTTGTTCCAAAGATATTGACTATCAAAGAGTGAGTACATTTTTTTGGACCTTCCTGTATATAGGATGTATGGATTGGCATTTGAGATTCTCCTGGCGGTGACTGTTAGAAGCCAGCTTCCGATGTGTGACCACTTGCAGTCTGGTAGATATTTACCGACGTTTCGGAGAAATACTGCCTCCATCTTCAGGGTTGAATTCTTTGCATGCTATGCACGAAATGTCTTTCAGATTGATATCTTCTGGGTTCTGACACCATATTACTCTGTAGATGGATATTGAAATTTCGAATAAATATGCCGCCTGCTTCATCAGGAATGAAGTATATAAGTTCAGGAATTGGCTCATGTAAACAGGAGGGAGAGAGAAAACGGAGCCAGTTGGAGGCCACTGCGAAATACGAATATGCTTACGAAAATATTCCTTTAAAGGGGAAATTTGGTATATCGTTACAGGTGGTAAATGGCATATTGAAGAAAATGGTCCTCTTTCAATGAATCAATATTGTATCCACTTTTGCTCCTGCAAAAAAATATCCTAACCTATACACTTCAGTCCTGAAGAAGGAAGCAGCATGTTCCTCCGAAACGTCGATATCCACGTACAAGTCAATACGATGTCACAATCCAGAAGGTCAAGAATATTACAATCTGAAGGACCTCTCTTGCATAGCATGTGAATTTTTCAACCTTGGAACTGTATGCAGCATGTTCCTTCGAAACGTCGGTT